CTGGTTTATCATGTAGTATATAGGGAGTCTGTTGTCATCTCTAACCTTCCATCAGAGTCTGGTTTATGAAGAAGTATATAGAGAGTCTGTTTTCATCCCTAGTCTTCCCCCAGAGTCTGGTTTATGATGTAGTATATAGCGAGTCTGTTGTCATCTCTAACCTTCCCCCCAAGAGTCTGGTTTATGAAGTAGTTTATAAAGAGTCTGTTGTCATCTCTACCCTTCCCAGAGTCTGGTTTATGATGTAGTATATAGGGAGTCTGTTGTCATCTTTAGCAGTCTGGTTTATGATGTAGTATATAGGGAGTCTGTTGTCATCTCTAGCCTTCCCCAGAGTCTGGTTTATGATGTAGTATATAGAGAGTCTGTTGTCATCTCTAACATTCCCCCACAGTCTGGTTTATGATGTAGTATATAGGAAGTCTGTTGTCATATATAACCTTCCCCTCAGAGTCTGGTTTATGATGTAGTATAAAGGGAGTCTGTTGTCATCTCTACCCTTCCCCGAGAGTGTGGTTTATGATGTAGTATATAGAGAGTCTGTTGTCATATCTAACCTTCCTCCAGAGCCTGGTTTATCATGTAGTATATAGGGAGTCTGTTTTCATCTCTAACCTTCCCCCAGAGTCTGGTTTATGATGTAGTTTATAAAGAGTCTGTTGTCATCTCTACCCTTCTCCCAGAGTCTGGTTTATGATGTAGTATATAGGGAGTCTGTTGTCATCCTTTACCCTTCCCCCAGAGTCTGGTTTATGATGTAGTATATAGGGAGTCTGTTGTCATCTCTAGCCTTCCCCCCAGAGTCTGGTTTATGATGAAGTATATTAGGAATCTGTTGTCATATCTAACCTTCCCCAGAGTCTGGTTTATGATGTAGTATATAGGGAGTCTGTTGTCATCTCTAGCCTTCCCCAGAGTCTGGTTTATGATGTAGTATACAGGGAGTCTGTTGTCATCTCTAACCTTCCCCAGAGTCTGGTTTATGATGTAGTATATAGGGAGTCTGTTGTCATCTCTAACCTTCCCCAGAGTCTGGTTTATGATGTAGTATATAGAGTCTGTTGTCATCTCTAACCTTCCCCAGAGTCTGGTTTATGATGTAGTATATAGAGTCTGTTGTCATCTCTAACTTTCCACAGAGTCTGGTTTATGATGTAGTATATAGGGAGTCTGTTGTCATTTCTACCCTTCTCCCAGAGTCTGGTTTATGATGTAGTATATAGGGAGTCTGTTGTCATCTTTAGCAGTCTGGTTTATGATGTAGTATATAGGGAGTCTGTTGTCATCTCTAACCTTCCCCCAGAGTCTGGTTTATGATATAATATATAGGGAGTCTGTTGTCATATCTAACCTTCCCCAGAGTCTGGTTTATGATGTAGTATATAGGGAGTCTGTTGTCATCTCTAGCCTTCCCCCCAGAGTCTGGTTTATGATGTAGTATATAGGGAGTCTGTTGTCATCTCTACCCTTCCCCAGAGTCTGGTTTATGATGTAGTATATAGGGAGTCTGTTGTCATATCTAACCTTCCCCAGAGTCTGGTTTATGATGTAGTATATAGGGAGTCTGTTGTCATCTCTACCCTTCCCCAGAGTCTGGTTTATGATGTAGTATATAGGGAATCTGTTGTCATATCTAACCTTCCCCAGAGTCTGGTTTATGATGTAGTATATAGAGAGTCTGTTGTCATCTCTAACATTCCACAGAGTCTGGTTTATGATGTAGTATATAGAGAGTCTGTTGTCATATCTAACCTTCCCCAGAGTCTGGTTTATGATGTAGTATATAGGGAGTCTGTTGTCATCTCTACCCTTCCCCAGAGTCTGGTTTATGATGTAGTATATAGAGAGTCTGTTGTCATCCTTTACCCTTCCCCCAGAGTATGATTTATGATGTAGTATATTAGGAATCTGTTGTCATATCTAACCTTCCCCAGAGTCTGGTTTATGATGTAGTATATAGAGTCTGTTGTCATTGCTAACTTTCCCCCAGAGTCTGGTTTATGATGTAGTATATAGAGAGTCTGTTGTCATCCTTTACCCTTCCTGTAGAGTCTGGTTTATGATGTAGTATATAGGGAGTCTGTTGTCATCTCTAGCCTTCCCCCCAGAGTCTGGTTTATGATGTAGTTTATAAAGAGTCTGTTGTCATCTCTACCCTTCCCATGGAGTATGGTTTAGGATGTTGTATAAAGGGAGTCTGTTGTCATTGCTAACGTTCCCCCAGAGTCTGGTTTATGATGTAGTATATAGGGAGTCTGTTGTCATCTCTAGCCTTCCCCAGAGTCTGGTTTATGATGTAGTATATAGGGAGTCTGTTGTCATATCTAACCTTCCCCAGAGTCTGCTTTATGATGTAGTATATAGAGAGTCTGTTGTCATCTCTAACCTTCCACAGAGTCTGGTTTATGATGTAGTATAAAGGGAGTCTGTTGTCATCTCTAACATTCCACAGAGTCTGGTTTATGATGTAGTATATAGGGAGTCTGTTGTCATCTCTACCCTTCTCCCAGAGTCTGGTTTATGATGTAGTATATAGGGAGACTGTTGTCATTGCTAACTTTCCCCCAGAGTCTGGTTTATGATGTAGTATATAGGGAGTCTGTTGTCATATCTAACCTTCCCCCCAGAGTCTGGTTTATGATGTAGTATATAGGGAGTCTGTTGTCATTTCTAACCTTCCCCCAGAGTCTGGTTTATGATGTAGTAAACAAAAAGTCCATTGTCATCTCTAGCCATTCCCCTAGAGTCTGTATGATGAAGAAAAGAGAAATTAAGTACATAATGAAGTTATCACTAAAACCCCATGTAGGATGGTTTATGAGGCACCAAATAGAGTCTGTTGTTATTTCTAGCACCCCCGTTTTAATTAACTGATTAGGATTATGATATACATGTAGAAAGTAGGAAGGCATTGTTGCAAACCATGGGAGAGGACTATCTAAGTTTTTGGAACTTGTGTCCAATCCCTTTGACATGTTGTCAATAAAATATGTTCAAAAGCATGACCAAAATGTATCATCCTCATCTATTCAAATCATGGTTGAATGAGAGAAGAAGATTTTGCAATTCATTTAAATATTGACCATAGTCTAAAATAACCTTTGATTCTACCTTTTTTTACCAATTGCAGTATAGTAAATTTCATTGGTTATATTGTTAAATTCATTTGCAATACTAGTACATGTATTAGCACTTTACATGTATTTTCATTGGTCTATAACATAACATCACACATTAGGCATGATTAAATTGCCACAGGTAGCATATACCATAGCTTGAGAAAGTGATATTAGGAAGCCAGTACAAAGAAGATACTCAAAATACAAGTGACATGGATAGATAGACTGACAGACAGATCCCCCCCCCCCCCCCCGGAAATCAGCACACTATCAACAAAGAAAGAATGGTTTCATCATCGATCAACACTATAAAGTTTTCAGTATCCAAAGCGACTGTTTATCACAAAACTTTTATAACCTAAATGAAAACAACATATTTTTTATACTATCATATATATATCTTTATTTTTAAAAAATTGTTACCGACATTTTTGTTGCATAACAAAATGCAAAGAAAGTATAAATGTATATAAATGTGTACACCTAATTTAATGGAGTTTCTTGATTTTAGACATCGATGATTTGGCATTTTGTAGAGTTATGGAGAACATCATGAATTTTTTATTTTTATATGACAAATTATCGTTAATGACTTGATGTAAAAATTGCACTTGACAGGAGTCCTGGCTCTGTAATTCTCCTTCACTGATGGTGAGGGTAATAATTTCCATCACATTGCTCCAGTAATATCACTTATCATCCTGAATCACATTATTGCAAAATGAAATTTTCTTAAACACATTTCTCTCATCTCCATAGAAAAAAAAACATATAAAGTAAGAAAACCCAATGCAGATCTGTTAAAAAAAAAACATTTCATAAACAACCAACAAATAGGACTAAATAAAGACTCCAAGAAAAACAACAAAAAGTCTACAAAATCTCCAGTATAGTCTTTGTTTGGGACTTCAGGTGTAGTAAGTTAGGGGAAATAAAGTAAAATATAAAACCTAATCTAAAGCTAACAGCAAAAGTATTCTAAGTGAGGGGAATAACAAAAAGCTAACTGCTTCCCAGATCTGTAAGGATTACTACTGAGCACAACATGAAAAATATCTGTTTATAATACCATATAATCCCTATTAACCACCCCTGCCCTTATCATCTAGAATTGTATCAATAGTCTGCTATAATTTTAAGAAAGTTTAAATGGAACTTTGTTTTTTAGGGCAACTCGTATGTTAAGCATTCCTGAAAGTGAATTTTTTTTTAGAACAACCAAACCACTACGTACATGTGTATTTTTGAAAGTGAAAGTTATCTACAAAATTGCTCTCCTTGTGCATTCTCTGATTTCTTGGTGGAAAAATGAATCACAGAGCATAATTTTGATCAATTATCTTAACTTAAGGGAAAGTTACCATATACCTTATAAGCAGAATTTTGAGCAAGGATTTAATTTTGGCATTTTTAGTGAGATTGCAAGATCGCTAAAATTGGATATTTTAAAAAATTAATTGTACATTATTTGTAATAGCTTCAGTGAGGGTCGTTTAGTGAGCTTTTTAAAATCGCTGAAATTACATCTCGCTGAAAATAAAATACCACTTTTAAAGACAAATCACTAAATTTGGGTCTTGCTAAAATTTCCACCTATACCGTATAATTAATCTTTAAGTGGTTCTCTGAATTTTTTTTTTTTAAAGATTTTTTTTTTAAGTTAAAATATGATATAAAAAATTATAACTAGAATACCAAAATAACCGCCCCTTTTTCGCCATTTTCTAGGTGCCTGGGGCGGTTAATAGGGATACGGTATTATTTCAATGAACTGAACATACTCAAGATTGTTTATAAAAAAATTCAACTTTTGATTAGGAAAGGGAATTCATTCAATAATAAAATAAATATCATCTATGAATTTTTCTATATTTTTCCCCCCATTTTATATCCAAGTAATGGCTTCATAACATTGTGCACAAAGAAATCACAATATGGGCATTTACAGTTGTCATAGTAACGACCTATACAGAAGTGGGAGGCTCCTCTCATCACAGCTAACTCCCCCTCTAATCTCATCCAAACAATGTCTACTGACTAAAGTCACTCTGATAAAGCAAGGGAAAATCTGTATTATGCTAGGATCGCTATTGGTATTATAACATTTTATAGAAATAAAAAAGTTCAAAAACAAAAACAAGAAATACTATAGCATACAAAGATATGACAATAAGAAAAAAAATCAACATACATTTGAAGTTTTAAACACAATTAACATATGACAATGTAGCAGAAATATTGTACTATAGAAACAGTCCAAACACCATTCTCCATTTTTAAACAATCGTCAAGAGAGATTTCAAACATAATATAAGTTAAGAGGGGAAATCTTGAACCTTTTTGTATTTTTTATACTAGACTTTCTCATTCATATGTACTTCATTTGTAGTTTGATGTTCACAAAGTTGTAAGTTACTGTAGACATGTATATAAATATACATTCATTGTATATATAAATTGCATTAACATAGGAAAATTCGTAGAAGTCAATGAAAAATACTCCGTTGTACTCTTTATATGGAGATTAGTAGTATTTCTGGTGTACTATAGATATTCTCTACACACACTTGGATAAGGACTATAGATATACATTGCACACGGTCACTTCTTGTCTCTCTGTGAGAACACTGGCATCTGAGGAACAAACATGGGTACATTGTTAAATGCTGTGTGGTCTCGTTGTAATAACCCATCATAGGCAGCACTAGCCCTCAGCTGGGCCTGGTACAACTGTTGTAATTGTAGGGGGATGGGGAAGAAGCCTGCCTGGGGAAGGGGGACTGAGGGTCGCATCATGGGGTGTAGGAAGGCGGGGTGGACCATCCCCGGGGGGAGATCTGGCAGACCGTCCTTCATTCTGGGACTCAGAGATTCGGGACCCTGAAATACAAAAATAATGTCAGCAACAAATACTAGTATAAAGGTTTGGTCAAACATATTCTGATTGGCTAGTGCATTGGTGATTGAAGGAGTACAACAATCATTAATGAGAGTGAGAGCTTTTGATTGTGATGTCACAATAGAGCGATGTAATATCGCTCTCTGACATAATTAACTCAACAAACATTAACTTAATATAACTTTGTTTGCAGCTGTTTAATCAGCATTAATACATGTAGTCACAAATACCAAATAAGAAGACAATTTTTACCTTAATCTAATTACTAGCATATCATAACAAATCGGAAGACTTTCCCAATATTTTCTTTTAAATTTGTCCTCTATTGCGGCAACACTCTAACCTCTGTGACCATAATTTGAATAAAATTAAATTTACATATAGCATGTATAGTAAGGAAACTTTTATAAAAGTTTGTCTTTTTAATTCCTGTGGTTTTGATACGATTTTAAAATGTCTTATGATTACTCTTTATCTTCTAAACTTCTAAATTATGTGGATTTCTTTGGAGCAAACTTGAATTCCATCAATTCAAGGATGCTTCAACATGGCAAATTTAGTTGAAACTGGCTTTGTACTTTTGTAGAAGTTGAAAATGTTAAAATTTTATAGACAACCCATGAAGGATGAAAAAAGAATAGGCTGATCTCAGACACTGTTCAATCAGAAAAATTCACTTGAGTTACTGAGTAGTTTCCTTTCACAATGCTGTGTTCTAAGAAACTTCGGCGCTGAATATTTAAAAACTATTACATAGCTAAACTTTTCAGGTATATCCTATATCTATGTAACAAGTTGTCTTTGTATTTAGTACATTTCTCTCATTTTTTCATGACATTGTCAGTAAATCCTAGTCTAATTACCTTGAGAGCACTTCTTGACAATCTAGCTTCCTGAGACTTATCCTCCATTTTAACTGATTTTGTCCCTTCCTGAGATTGTGAATTGGATGACGGTATTTTACTTAGTTCCACCATATTGCTACTGGGATAAACAGCAGGACTGAACACAGACGAGGGTCGTTTATTGAACACACTGTGGGGAATATCAAGAGGATGTTCCAATCCCGCTGGACAAGTTTGGACCCGGTGTAGAGCAGGAGACCTCTCCCGCTTGACCAGACGTTCCGGGGTTTCCCTAGATAAACCGGGGGTACTGTTTCTCTCACTGGTCTCTGAATTCTCTTTCTTCTTCAGAGTTTTCATACTTAAGTCAGTAGGCTCATCAGAGCAGTCTGTTTTGTTACTGGTAACTAAGTCCAGTTTCTGACGTTTGGGACTCTCAAAGTCAAATAACAGTGACTTGTTGGCAAAAGATGACCCTGAAGCATTAGGAACGTGGAGCTGACCTGATGAGTAGTGTCTTTTCAGTCCATTAGAGTGAGCGGGGGGCACCATGAGTGTATGGGGGGAGGACCCTCCTGAGGAACATGGGGATGTGCTTGTTGGCTGTCGACTCTGAGTATGCGTTGATGTGAGTAGGTCCAGGGACTGTGATGATGAAGAACTCGAGTGTTTGGATGAGACATGAGCTGGTCGGCTTTCTAGAGATGATGTTTTATGGGAATTTCTGAGAATATTTGGACGAAATGAATGCTGCTTATCAGAAGAGCCTGGCGCTAATGATGGATGACTAAAGAACCTTGGCATTCCCATGGGTAACTGATTCATGATAGGCAGTCCCATTGGATGAAGTCCACCAAGGGGGATAAATGTCTGTGGGTAAAACATAGCTGCCTGATGTACCGGTATGTTTGGGACTCCTCGTTCCATGGCCTTAGAGTGACTCATGCTAGCACTAGATGATCCTTCCACAGAGTTTTGTTGGAAGAGTTTTGATTGGCTGAACACATTGGCACTGGATTCACTATCTGGCTCACTTTCCCTTTCCTCCTTGACCTTGACCGAACCTTCAGTCCTTTCCCCTGGAGGGTCTGTTGTCTCCTCTTTACTTAGGGGCTCCGTCTTGATGCTGGAGGGTGTGATGGCCTGTGTCTTTTCTTTCTCTGAGCTGTCTAGCAAATTCTTTACTGTTCTTGGCCTGCCTGGTTTTCTTCCCTGTAAAATAAATGTTCAGTTAATCTTAACAATATATACTTCTTTATGTTTACTGTAAACAATAGCAATATTCTATATTTTCTTAGAAAATCCATATTTTATGGAAAATGTACTCATACGAGTTTGGAAACACAGGCACAAAAAATGAAACATAAAGCTCTAGGTGATCTATACAAAAATCATAACTTCTGTTACAGTTTAATAATACAGTAACAATGTTGAACAATCTAAGAAATATGAGGGCTGAAACCTACTTTGATGGTTTTTTGCCTCTCCTTAAGCTTTCGGATTTGTTCCCACTGCTCTGCCCTTTGTCTGAGCGTCAGAGTGGTTTTAAATCTCTGTTAGTATAAAGAAACCAGCACTCACCAAGCATGCAAACAGAAAGCACTGACAAGTTAACCTCAGACCAAATAGTGCAACCTGTCTAAATATAGCAGACTGGGTCACCTCAATCTAAATATAGCAGACAGGGTAACCTCAGTCTAAATATAGCAGACAGAGTTACCTCAGTCTAACAATGTAGAAAGTGTAACAGTCTTGTCTTAAGATCAAGTTAATATAGTGCAGGGAACAGGCCCCAGGCCAGGAAACAAGATTAATCAGGATAACCTCAGTTCAAATATTGTGAGGTATAGCCTTATCCTAAACACTGCAGACAGGTAACCTCTATGTAAAAATACTGCAGACGGGGAAACCACAGTCCAAATATTGCCAACTAGCCAACTGGGTAACCTCAGTCTACAGAAGCACACAGGGTAACCTGTCTAAATATAGCAGATAGGGTAACCTCAGTCTATTTATAGCAGAAAGGGTGGCCTAATCTAAAAATATGGAGTGTAACTAAAAGTATTGCTGACAGAATAATTCAGTTAATTCTGTTTCATTTGCAAGTGAAAATGATCAGACCAAGATTAAAACATTCTATGTTTGCAGTTGAGAACAAACTTTACAATGTTTAGAGTGGATAAGAATTTTTTAATTGAAGAAAGAAATCCATTTTTAATTTTTGTTTTTATATTTTGTGATACAAATCATAGAGATTTAAGAAATTATTTATTAAAATTTTGTTAACCCTGGTTTGTTTATTGTGATTTATTAAAAACTTTTAAGATTGAATTATTATGAAAAATATTTTAGTAACTGCATACCTTTTCATGTGATATGTCAAAATAGGAAAAGGATGAGAAATGGGAAATAAACAAAAGTAAAGACAAGAAAACAGAAAACTCTCCCAAAGTGCATTTTTATACATTAAAATTGACAACACAGAGTTAATGGAACACACTGTATTTGAGGATTTTCCTGATTTTTTACAGCAGTAACCAGTAGAACTATGACTTACCCTCCGAGGTTTGACCTGGTCCTCCTCTGTCTTACAAGAGTTGTCCTCCCTGTCTTTACTCTCCGGCTCTTCTTTAGGTAGTTTGGTCGTTTTCTTCTCAATGTTACGACCTTTGTCATAACGCTCATATGGCAATAGTAACCTATTAAAGACAATTATGATGGCACTCAGTGATTTAATTTCAGGAACATTGGTCATAATGTGAACTGGTTGTCATAAGTCTGTTAGGATGAAATCATTCTGACTGCACTTAAGTTTTGTTAACATGGTTAATGGTTTTATGTTATTTCATAGGAAGTATTTCGTTTTAAACAGGTTTAATTTACATGCATCAGTTGTACATGTATTACTTTTTATATTAAAAATAATCTGTTCAGTAAAGCCTTGCTATACTAAATACTATGAAACAAAAAATTATCTTACAAAATTTCCAAACTAGTATATATAGGTAGTATATGTACTTGATTATTAAAAAGGTTCTTATACAAGAAGATACTTTACTAAACAGAAAAACATGTATTTTATAATAAATACTGGGTAAAACTGAAATTAAATATACAAATAATGCATAGTTTGATTTAAAAAATAACATACAAATACTTGGTAAGCCTTAAAAATATTTTAAAACCCTTACTTTATAACATCCTTGTAGGTGAGGATTTGTACAACTATTTCTCAGAACGAGTATTTCCTGCCCCATTCCTGACTAGTTTAAACAGACCAAACAAACTGTCTATCTGATTCATTTCTAATAGAAATATATATATATGTTTTTTTTATATTGAGGAAAAAGAAAGAGTTCATCAAGCATCCCTGATTCAAGAGCTGATGTTATTTTGGGGGACACGAACTATTTTCACATAAGGAAAATATATTTTGAATGAAATGAAAATTAATCTGAAAAAAAAGAGGCCCATGGGCCTTATAGGTCACCTGAGTATCATGCAACAACTTTCCAGTGATTGAATTTGGTTCATATTTTAAGCCAGATGCTATGGCATTCACAATTTTGAAAGAGGCACCATTGCTAATCATACCTATATACTTAACAATTGCTTAGTTTGGTTACTTAATACCCATAGGAAGGTAGGGGAACAAAAAATGCATTTCAACTAATCAGTAATATTCAGCAATAATCAGTAGTGCCCCTACCACACATGAACCCCTGACCCTAGGTCAACACATTGCACAATTTTTGAAAAGGCACCCTTGCTTATCAAAAATATTTGATTAATACAAACTTGCAGATTTCAAACAATTCATTTTCAGTATATACGAGTAGAAGCCCCCCCCCCTCCTCTATTGTACCCCGATCATGGGGCCTTGAAATTCAAAATTCTGGAAGAAGGGCTCTTGCTCATCATTACTATATAAGTAGTTCATCTGCTTAATAACCTGGAGCAGAGAAGAACATTTTCAAAGAATTCATGTACATGTATTTTCACTATATAATCAATAGAGCCCCTCCCTAACACCAAAACCCTTGACCCTAGGGCCTTGAAATTCACAATTCTGGAAGAGGCACTCTTGGTCATTATAATTATGTACTAAATTAGTTTATTCAATACCCAGGAGCAAGAAGAAGATTTTCAAAGAATTCATGTATTTTCACCATATAATCAATAGAGCCCCACCCTAACACCAGAACCCCTGACCCTGGGGCCATAAAATTCACAGTTTTATAGGAGGCACTCTTGCTCATCACAACTATGTGCTCAGTTAGTTTATTTAATATCCAGGAGCAGAGAGGAATATTTTCAAAGAATTAATGTATTTTCACTATATAATCAATAGAGAGCCCCGCCCTTATACCAGAATTCTTCACCCTGGGGCCATAAAATTCACAATTTTGGTAGAGGCACTCTTGCTCATCATAACTATGTATTTAGTTAGTTTATTTATTACCCAGGAGCAGAGAAGAAGATTTTCATAGAAATAATGCATTTTCTCTATATACTCGTTTTAGCCCCACCCTAGCATCAGAACCCCTGACCCTGGGGCCATGAATTTCACAATTTTGGTAGAGGACTCAATGCTGATTACATCATGTAAACAGTTTGACTGCTTGTTGTCCAGGAGTAAAGAAGAAGATTTTTAAAATTGCTCAAGCCCCAGGGGGGCAGGGGTCATCAAAAAAAAATAGATGCTGTATACCAAATTTGGTTGAAATTGGTTCAGTGGTTGCAGAGAAGAAGCTAAAAATGTAATATCACAACATATATGAGATTTCAGGTGACCTAAAAACTAAAAAAAAAAAAATTGAATTCCAGCTTGCAGTGTAATATCACAACATATATTTTCTCATTTTTCTGTGTCTTCAAACACTGAATATATTTTTTTTTTACAGATGTGAGATTTATAGTCCTATTATAAATTGCTGGACACTAAAAAGGGTAAACAATCTTGGCTTTTAGACCAAGGCCTGCTGTATGTAAAAGACAATGAGAAAGATTTTTTGAATGCAAGTATTTTCAGACAGCACATTGTCTTTACATATCTCAGTGCTTTAATGTAAGGATTATTGCTAATGATTTGAGAATCTGCGACTTACTTTTCATAATGTCTGCGGGTACAGGTGGCAGCACTAGTACTTCCTGGATTTCCACCGAGCTTGTCATAAAGGTGTTTCCATAACCTCCTCTGTGTCACCTACAATTACAACAACCTGGTATATACCCAGTGCCTTAATTCTGACAGGAAATCTGTATGCCTAGGTTATCAGAATGTCCATCTCTAGAACAAAATTTTTTAAGGCCTAAAAATCCAGAATTAAATGGAAAAGTTCATCCCACCTCCATCTTACTATCCTTATCTGAAAGTGGAGCCTAACAATTTAAACCTTAGATTTTGACTTCAACTACCAGGAATTTTGACAATCCAATCTGACTGTTCTTGAATGATAATGTTATCTCACCATTTCATATCCTCCAAGTTTTTGTGCATAACTGTAGAAAAAGTACAGGTCCACTGAAATAGAATTCAAATCTAAGTCAATACACACTACATCCAGTCAAAGGGGAATAACTCTACATACACATTGTCAAATATTCCAAATTGATTAAGAATTCTCTCCGAGTACATTTGACATGTGAGTAATGATGATATACGAGGGGTGTTAGAAAAGTTCACGGACAAGTTCTATTGTGAACGCGCTATTTCCACGAAACCGGTCAAACTTTCCAGATAAAATCTTAACCTATTTTCCAATAAATATACAAAAATTTGGTGCTCTCCGGTGATCATTGAAAAATAAACGGCTTTTTTATTTTGATAAATCTTGCTTCACGGAGCATGCTCCATTTTGGCACGTTTACATTACAAAGACTCTTGATTAAAATTAAAAACTGCACAATTGTAGCGCAAAGAGATTTATGATATTTTACCTATCGGTAAAGTATTCATGAAACGTCACCTGGAGAAATTTTGAATTAAATTGGAGGGTATATGACTCATTTATAGCCATTTATAAATGATCAACACGTAAAAACACAGCCAAAAATCAGAACGTCATTGAGCGTCATGGAGCACTGCTCTATGTAAAAATTATGTGTGTAGACAGTAGAATGTCTAAAAAGAGATTAAAATTTTCAAGATGCTGCCGGAAATTTCCTACACACACAAAGGACAAAAGTTTTCAAATGATTGTGACTTCATATAAATGGAAGGATTAACATTTTGAATGATTAACTCCATCGATACTTCAATACCCTCTTATCGCATGGACGTTGTGCCTATATGGTTTTGCAGTTTTCAAACCTGATCAATTTACTGCATAGATGTTTTTAAAGATCTCAAAAATATCCGAATCAATACAATCCGAATTAGTACAAAAGACATTATAGTAGAAAGGTAACATGTCTTGATATAGATGTTCAATTTTAAAGTAGAAAAAAGATAAGAAAAATCTGAAGAAAGGAAAGATTTATAGAACTGCGACAAAGCATAACGGATTGAAATCTGGTTGTCACGTCGCCTTACCTCAAGGGATTGCTCCGTGAATCCTATGACATCATAGTAAAAATCGTTGTAAATTTTCAAGATTTTAGTAAATGGACATGATTTTTTACATACTAATATACAAAATGTAGGAATTTATTCAGACATAGGTCATACTTCACAGTACACAATAGATTTTCCGTAATTCAATGTGTCCGCGAACTTTTCTAACAACCGTCGTATACATGTACTCAAAGTACTACACCTAGCAAAATATAAGCTTCCTTGAGAATTTTTATACATGTACCAGTATTATTACTTTATTTCAGGGTGGGTTAAATATAAGTGCTTATATCCAGGATGTACTATACACTCTGTGTTTGTGGTAAACTTCTTCACCTTGTTTGAATCCGAGCGAAGGAATCCGACAAATAGGGGTGTTTCTCTTCTTCATGAAGCGGTGGAGATTAAACAGAAATTCTTGTTCCTCTGTGCTCACTTGACTCTTGTCAAACTTTAAGCCATTACGTAGGGCTGATTCACGCTTTCCCGACTGAAAAATATATAGATACAGTGTATAGTAAACATTAGTCATCGAACTCTTGATGACCTTATAGTAGAAAAGTATTTATTTCATTGAATTCACTGTATAAGTCATCATCTCTTCTACTTACTCATATCTGAGGAGCATTGTTTACTATTTTACATTACAGGCATACCATAAAATAAAGTTGTATTGAAGACAACCACTAGCCAGCTACTGTGTGTGTGCATTTTTTTTTTAAAGCCCCCCCCCCCCCCCCCGAGTCAATACTGTAAACCAACTTTTATTCACGACGACTTTATTTCGCGATTTACCAGAGGTAAACTAGTTGGCGACAATTTATTTTCGCGATCAGACCTTTTTTGATCTGTTATAAATAGACAGAGAGACTTTAAATTCTGGTTCACGGCGAGAAATATTCGCGATGACGATGCTGTCGTGAACTTCGCGAAAATTTCTCGCATGCGAATAAAAGTTGGTTTACAGTATTTTGAAGTTCTTATTTGACACACTCATGTGACAATGCAGTTGAAACAAGAGAAATATTTACAAGGGATATAGACTACAAGTGCATGTTTGAGCATCTAATTATCAAATATATCTAATCTATTGTATTTTTGGAACACCAAAAAAACAAAGATAAATCTACTTTCCAAGCATCAATGCATGGAATTAGGTATTTTCTATATAATTAACAAAATAATTCATTTCAACATCCTTATTATTTCCTTGCTTCCCTATAAAAAGTTAAACATAGATATTTCCTTGTCAATAATACTTTTAAATTTGATAATTTATTGAAAAACAAATATATTTATCTCAACATTACACTCTTGACAAGAAAAATATTACTAATCAGTATAACAAAAATATTTTGTCAGCACTCTTTGTGATAGTATACTTCCGCAACTTTTCCCAGTGAAATGATTACAATATAACCGACTTCCTTGCACTTGAAAATTGCTTGAAGCAGACCATGTTTTATACATAATTTATAAACATCTTTTCTTTTTAAATCAGAGCTGTTAGAATATGTCTTGTCTTCCCTAAAAATAATTTATTAACTCTGATATTAAGTAAGTATCCGTGGGTATTTAGAAATTCATAATTTAATGTCTATGTACAATATGGATTAGATGGGTAACAATTGTGATTTTTTTGACATTTTATTTTAATTAATCGGACCTCACCACCTACCATAACAAATTTTTTGCAGCCAGGCGTGGATACATCCGATGACGTCTCATAACTCTCCGAGTCACTCCGGTTCAGAGATTTTTTCTTCCTCGGCCGTCCTTTCAGTGAAGGAGCTAAATTAAATTAATAAATGGTGTTTGAATATAAATTGATTATTAAGACACCACAAAAATATTATTTTGATTAAGTCTTTCTGTATGTATCTCTGCAATTACAAAAGTTCTAAAAACCTTCTTCAGTAAAACTTCCTTATTTCAAGCTTGATGGGAGTGAAAAAAAAACAAACTTTGAGATAACTGAGTATTCAAGATATTGAGAGTTGATTAATTAAGGAATAAGTGGTTAGGTCTTCCAATTCACTTTGTTGTATATATATTTGGATTGAAAAGATGACTGAGACCAAAATCTTTATGACTGCTTTCATAAAATATCATTACAAAACTCTTCACCTAGATGATCACATCTAATCTCCAGATCATCCAGTTCTGGGACATCCACCGTGTTTTTACAGAACATAATTCTGGCATTCTTGTGTTTTGTCACAATTCCACCAATGGCACAAATAATGGCATTTCTTAGCCATTTGTCTACCATATTCTCAAGTCTTTTAAGGACAGTCCTGTATCTACAGTACTGAGCGAAACTGAGGATTGTAAGCGGAGTTGAGGTGGAATCCCCTTTATACCCTGAAAACATTAGTAGAAGAAGAATAATTATTTGGTGTTAGATGCAATGCAATAAATGTTTAAAGAATTGCAACTGTCAATAGAGGATTCATGTTCAATTTTACTTGGTATTCTTGTTTAAATGTTAACTTCAAAAAATGTCTTTTCATATAACAGACTAGCAGCATTAAGGAAGAGGGAGGCTCCTCCCCCTCCACTTTTTTTCTCCAAACATATCATACCATTGAAAAATCTTCATTGAAACTCTAGCCCCCCTCCCTTTTGTGATAGCATTACATTAAGACATATATGGTAATTTGGTAATTAATGTCTGAAAAGATTGGACTGTGAAATAATGTTGAAACCTAACCAACACCAACACCCCCCCTCCCCCTTTCAACATTTTAAAATCATTGGAGACATTTTCTTTTAGGCACTCTTGCATTCTTTCTTTAAAGGCAAGATATGACTTAAGAATATTATTTTTGAAACAAGAAAAGTTTAAGACAGCTGTTGTAATGCTCAGTGAGTGTCTGTGGGACTGTGTAGACTACTTCTTAGCTAGCCAATGGGAGGCCAAGAGAGGATTAAATGTCATTCTCATCTATTGATTTACACAAAAGATGCTTAAACAATGTAGCTAATCTATATATAATGAAGGATAGCATGAAATATCTCTTTTTCTGATGATATGGAATTAAATTGGTCTATTTAACTGGCGGAAAGAATAACTATCATGTACGTTCACTTAAGTCTTATTGGATTTTTCACATTAATTTAGTAAAAACAGCATAAAAACAAAGCCTATTATTTAAATGTGAAAATGAATAATTAATAATAAAGCAAGCTTACATGACATTTGAAACTAATCCAATCCTATATATATATATATTTACTGTCCAGTAAAACACAGTACTTACTGCTGTTGACAATTAAAATACTTAGAACTACATAATTATGTCATAAATTACCTATTTCCTCCTTTTCTTTCTCTACATCGGAGAAGTTAAGTCCCTTTTTGTTGCAGACAAAGATGTTAGTGAATTCCTCTCCCTGGGGCTGGATGTCCTGCTCCTGGTACAGAGGCCGACCAAACGTCCACGTCACGTTCTCCATTAACAGGGGGACCAGGTCACAGGCCTTCAAGATCAGCTTCTCCGACATCCCCAGAATCTCGTCCTGCTCACAATCAAATTATACTCATTGTCATTTAAAATATGACAAAAAGTTAAAGTTGATGTCACTATTTCAAGAGTAATAATTCCCTTCTTTGTGATATCAAACCGAGGAGCAATTTTGTTTTTTTTTTAAGACAATACTGATTCACATAGTCACCTACATGAGTTAACCCCCTTTGGTCTCCCTTTACAAACTTTGTTGGGGTATTCATAGCTAGAAGGAATCAAACTTAATTTAATATGAAGGAAAGCTAAGCTATAGCTACTAGGTCTATGAACACAGTGTGTAAATCCCTATGTAGCAGCTAGCCATATATATCTATTGAATAATATAATTCTAATGTAATGTCACCCCTATGTAGCAACTTAATGACAGCATATATTATTTCTGCACCTTAGCTTAACAAAGACCTACATAGTCTTAATAAAGCTCATGTAAAGAGACAACCATCAGCAAAATGAAAAGTGATATCAAGATTTGAACCATTAACCTTCCACTTGTCAGTCTAACCACTGATTAGATCACTGAGCAAAACAAACAAAACTTATTTATAAATTTCTATTTCACTACAACCTGTACTTATTTATAGGGGATTCTTTAAAGCATATGATGTAAATACTAAATATTGAAACTAAATTATGAGTAAAATATCTAAAGGCAGTAAGGAAAAATTAACATCTTCCCCATTAAGTTTGTAATCTGCAATATGTAAGTTCAGTTAAAGTTTATTTTTAGAACAGCACTAGAATTTGCAATCAATAGTTAATATGCGGCAAGGAAAACAAAGTCTCCCTTTAAATCTTTCTAACAAAGATACAAGAATGTGACGTAAACCTAGCTGGTGTTTTATTACATGTACAGTACTCTAAAGAGCAACACATTTCTTGAAAAAAAATTCTTATGTGGATATTTGCCACTTTAAGCTCATTCCTAATGTGCCTTGATTATTGTACATTTAATATTGATCATAATTACCAGCAATAAAATATATCACTGTAGTAGTTACATTTTATATTACTGGAATAGACTATACAATTTTGAGATAAACATCAAATTGATTTTTTTTTCTTGTTAAGAATAATCTTGCATAGTGTTCTTGAAGGGAAGCTTCATCATTAATTTGTTGGTAGAAAAGAACCTTTTATTTTACAAAACAAATCTAACTTTACAAAATGCTCTGGCTTTAACATAAATGTATTTGTAAGATGAGATATTTTCAACAAATAGAATATTCCTATGTACATGTTTCATCTTCAATCTATTACTGTAACAGTACTCTTTATTATTATCATATATGAGCCAAACCTTAGCAGTAATTAATTTCATAGAAAAATATGTTATTTAACTTTTGTTGGCATTTTATGTGGGAAGATAGTATAAATAAAAAATATCACTTTAATTAAGTATTTCAATATTTCATGTCTGAGAAATATGTAAAATGAATTCTGAAATATATCAAAGAAACTTGGTACTTGTCAGCTACTTAAATCATTTTTACATTATGTTTAGATAGTTTTCCAATGACATATTTTGGCTCGGAGTTATTCCCCTTAGCCACCATCTTGTAGGGCAAAGCAGTGATTTTTCCTCTTTGAGCAACCAATTTTAAACATACAAGCCAGAAATATACGGGAGAAAATATTTACAATCTTAAGATTATGAATTAAAAGAGGCTTTAATAAACGTATTTTCCTAAGAACAAGAGGCCCACGGGCCTTATAGGTCACCTGAGTATTAAGTAACAACTTTCCAACAATTGAATTTGGTTCTGTTTTAAACCAGAGGGCATGAAATTCACAATTTTGAAAGAGGCACCATTGCTTATCATAATTATAAACTTAGCATGCTTACTCTATTTACTTAATACCCAGAGGTAGATTAGAGTAAAAAAGAGAAAATGCACTTCCACTTTATAACCAGTTGTGCACCCCACCCCAAAGGAACCACTGACCCCGGAGCCATGAAATTCACAATTCTGGAAGAGGCACTCTTGCTAATCATAACTATGTACTTAGTTAGTTTAGTTAATACCCAGGAGCAGAGAAGATTTTCAAAGAATTAATGCATTTTCACAATACATGTATAATCAATAGAGCCCCACCCTAACACCAGAACCCCTGACACTGGGGCCATAAAATTCACAATTTTGGAGGAGGCACTCTTGCTCATCATAACTATGTATTTAGTTAGTTTATTTAATACCCAGGAGCAGAGAAGAAGATTTTCAAAGAAGTAATGCATTTTCACTATATAATCTATATAGCCCCAAACTTGCACTAGAACCCCTGACCCTGGGGCCATGAATTTCACAATTTAGATAGAGGACTCAATGCTCATTACATTCAGGCCAACAGTTTGATTGCTTGATATCCAGGAGTAAAGAAGAAGATTTTTAAAGATTTCATTAATTTTAGTGGTTTTGGCCCCACCCCTCAGGCCCAAGGGGGGCAGGGACCATGAAATTCATAATTTCCATTCCCCATGTTCAAATGTTAACACACGATGTACGACGGATGATCACGGACAGAAACGGATAGCAATAGGTCACACGAGTAACTCAGGTGACCGAAAAATAGTGGGCGACTTCGATTCATACCCGAGTATTAACTCTTGGTTGACGTCACATGACCGGATGTTTACACAAACATGTGGTTTTCAAGCGAACTCATATGAGTTTGAAGGGTAGCGAAAATAAAATAAATTTCCTCTATGAGTTTTAAAAGGCGGTCGAATAGGTCCATTTTGACATCATCTGTTGAGTTAATTTTTTCTATAGCTTTTGCTGCAGTTGAAATGTTTTTCTTTTTCAGCTCTGAACTTTTTTGGTTTCGAATTTGAATTTATGTCTCTGCTGTTATCGGGCAGTAAGCCTGAAAAATCTAATCAAATAAACATATATTCATATAAATTATAAAGCGTTCATGTAGAAAGTGCGTTTCGAAGTTTGCTTTTAAGGATAAGCGATGCTAAACATAATATTTAGTAAAAAATAATTCCTACGTTCGGGTTTTTCTTTCGACGCCGCCATATCGAAACTCAAGTAATCCTACTGTATGACTGGGTTAGCTTGGGTAGAGTTCATAAGATCATATGACGTATTTTGAGTAGTAACTGGTCGTTTGATTGAAACTCAAGTAACTCAAGTACGTACTCGGGTACGAATCGAAGTCGCCCAGTGTTAACTTTACCTCAGTAACCTGAGTATAACAGATTGAACTTGGTTGAATAATGAAGGGATCTGGGAATGTTGCCCTACCACATGGCGGCCATGGGAAATAACTCTTACTTAAATCACCTCAGTGGAAAACGATCTATAGGTAGAATGTGTATTCAATCTCAGTTTCAAAAAAACTTTAAAAAATGATTTCTTTTTTTAAATTGTTACCACTAACTACCAAAGATGAAGAAAAAATAAATGTATATTGATTACTATGCATTTCTTTTTCTTAAAACACATTCTTTTAAATCTAATGGTTAATTATGTACCAGTAATTCATAAAATCATCCTTAATCCCCTCCCTCCCCCATTAATGAATTCAGAGTCAGAACATTTAAATTGCAAAAGAAAGCTAAAATTACTGAATTGCTAATGGTAAACATGCTTTCATACATGCAGTTATGATTTGGTTAACATTCACCAGGGATAACGAATCCAAGAGTGGCCAAGGGAGAATGTTTTTATCTATTAATTGATGACAACTGAGAACAACAGCCTTTCAAACATTGATCTGTTTATCAATATTACAGTGCACCAGCAGTATTTGATAGAATTTGATGATGTAATCATAATAAACTGATAATACTGCATGGGGAGAAAATTTCTTTTTCTCTAAAGAATTTTCTTTCTGCAAAATTGACATTTCAAAGTCATTCTCTTTATAAGCATGCAAATACCTTTATTTATTTGGGAGGGTGGGGTGATATATGACTACTAGACTAGTATAAAATATAGATATTATCTCCCTGGTATGCGCAAAAAGAATCTTGAACACAACGGAGGATGGACAAAGGAGGTGTGCATTTTCAAACTCCCCATCCAAAACTGCATTGACAGCACAATAGGTTAATTATTTAATGACACATTAGAATCTGTAAAGTTTCCAAAAATTCTTATCAAATTGTTTTTAATAATAAATATATTGAAAGTAAAATATATACAAATTAAGCCATTTTATCACGTTGATAGTTCAATCACACTTTTTGCTGCTGCATAATTATATTGAAAAAAAAAATGTTTTGCATCTAAAATATTTATATTTCTAAATTGCATAACATCATAAAAAAGTTATGGCAAATTTCCAAAAACATGTTTTAAAAGTACACAAATTGGCCTTTTCTCAATGAATAAAAAACTTCACAACAAATGTAATTTCTTTTCCCATTAAAATACTGCAAGGAGAACTAAACATCTACAGGCCAGCAGATACACACATGTGACTTGCTTATAACAAATGAATCATATGCCTGCAGTAGTTTAAAGTATCAAATCATTGACATTACACATAGCTACTCAGCTCTGAAATGTCAGTATAGGTTTAAATTAATATCATTTGCTGCCTAATATTACACTGAGCCCTGCATATAAATAAAATTTGTTGACATAAATTTAATTAGTTAAGGGTTATGACAGTCATAAAACAAAATGAAAATAATAAATCAATTTTTAAAAATTATTTATTAAATAAAAGGCCCATATAGAATTCAAAAAACAAAATTTTGTTTTAAAATTAAATTTCATCTATTTCATTTATATCTTGCTATTTTAATAACAAGATATTTTCCGAGATTAATTATTTGTATTCATTGTAAACTACAGGCGTAAGATTTAAATAAAATCTGTGTCTCTTTAAATCAAATGGCAGAACAACAGTTAAATAGTGTGTATAGATCCAGCACAATGCTCCCTCCAAATGTTACTAGAGAGAATAGAATTTTCCAATATCGCTGAAAAGTAACATTAATTAAATCCTCTCTCTCTGTTTTCTAGTACACAGGTGAAAGGGACCACGGCTAATCACTCAGGCATGACCATGTTATAACCATACCATTCACTCAAAATCTTCAAGGCCTGTATTTTATCAAAACTTATTTTTTTATCTCCCACCAAATAATTTAAATATTAATCAATACATTTACATTCATTATTTGGATGTAAGGCTTCATTTTTTTTTATTTGTTACAAATAGTCTTCAAGGAATGAGTCACTGTGTTTATTATTAAATTCAAAAGTATGAGATCCGTTAAACATTTGACAATTTTGTGTAGATGATTAAATAGTCACAGGTTATCTATAATCCGTAGCTTGTTTGTCTAATCAATATAGAACAAGCAGTCTTACTGGGCCGCTACATAATTCATAGCTGTCTGTCACATACACTCAACTCAAAACTATGTCAATTACAAATACTGGAGAAATAAATATAGCAAAACAATTGTACTCATATCAGCCTTTTTAATTATCTATTGATTCATATTTAAATTCTTTCATAAAAAAAAAAAATGAATTTATGTGGGGTTTTTTTTGTGACTGAGGTTTTTTTTTAAAAAAAACCTTGAAACCTTATCTTTTAAAATGACATATTTTCTCTAAATAAAAATGTTTTAAAAATAAAAATATTTGAATATAAAATAGAACAACAGAAAGTTTAAACATTTTAAAGATTAATACAAATACTAAAACAAATGAATATTTTAATTCTCATGTGCTGACTCCTGCTTAAAGGAATATTTCGGAAATGCACTTTATGATATCAGGATATTAAAAATTCTAAACACTTGAGTGGAGATTTAAGTCTGTCAGACTAACAAAGGCTTTGTAATGGAGTAACACAACAACAATTTTATCCTAACTAGAAATACCAGTTGAATAGATCACATTTAAATGTACCCCCTTTTTTTGTATTGAACCGAAAATTTAAAAGTCCCAATAAATAACATCAAAGTCATCAGTAATACAAGCTATCATGGGAAAACTATTGTCTAAATTAAGAAAATGTTAAATATTGCAAAATCTTTAATTTTTTAAATGTCATTTGACATGTTAGTTAGATGTAGAGAATTTATTGTCAGTGATGGAAGCCAGTGTGTGTAACTTGACACCCTTCACTTAATTAACATAGCTTGCCTAGGGTCTGATTCTGATAACATATTCTCAGCAATATCTCTACACAACCAATATATAATGGCTTATTCATATCCTAGGCCCATGCAACTAAAATAAAAGATTTTTTTTGAAAGAGGGAAAATGCATAACTAAAATAACAAGGAAAAGATGATATAATTTTTTTAATTATGTAAACTTGCAAAATGTTAGTTGCCCTTCAACAACATAATCTTATGTAAACAAAATTATCTACATATGTTGTAGAAGAGGCACCCCTAGGGGTAAAAATCCAATCACAATCATTTGTAATGAAATAATTTAAAACAACATAAATACACTCCGACATTTTTACTGTAAATTTTAGGAATGAAATTTACTATTTGGACTCATGCCAAACATCAGATTTTAAATGAAGCCAGCATGCAGAAGATTTGCTTGAAGTAAGAAACCCTCCTGGGTACCTCAGTATTCAAAGCCAGTGTGCTTGAGTCAACAAACTAATCTAGCACAAAGCAATTTACTTGACCCCAGAGGAATATCATTAAAAGATATTTAAATTACACACAGTCCTTTACTATGAAGATATAATCATTTTAAAACCATACAAATTATTTTTCTAAATATAAATTAATTTATTAATTGATAATTACTTCTTAAAAAAAACAAACTTTTTCATTCCCTGTACAATATTTCATTTCCCAGCCGTCTCCCAATAAAATCAATGGTTATTACCAAGACATATTTTCAATGCCACTGAATATTAGCATTCAGGAATATCAAATTGATTTATAATGGTTATAATGTTGCAATGCTTTAAAATTCTTTTTATTTCAATTGCATTTTGTAGTTTAATATAATGACTTGAGATTTATTTGTAAGGGCTAGAGGAAATTAATACCATATGCTGTGTAAGTCTCCAATCTAGATATAAATCCATTTAGTTTCTGTCTATTTATATGTTTGCTTTGCAATGTGTGTGTATGTGTGTGAAAATCTATAAGATCTGCAGGGAAGATGAGCATCAATATAACATCACAGAATTCATTATGAATAAAGAAAAACCATCCACCGTAATTAAGAATCTTGGCTTGTGCAATCAATTCTTTAAGTTTTATTGATTTTACCATTTGGAATAATTTAATACTGTAACAACATCTGAATATATGATTTGTTATTTAATGAAAGAGAACAAAAGTCACTATTTGACATTTATTGGATGTGAAAAACAATTAATTGGGGTACCATGAAGGGTTTTCTTTTTCAATCAATTTTCAATTCAACAAAATTTAAGTCAATTTAAAAATATCATTGTTTTCAACTGTGTAATTTATTTTTAATTAGATTGAGAAATTAGAATTAAAATCATTCAGGTGTGAAAAAAGGTGTTTAATTTTCCCTGTCATTATCCCCCTGGTATAATAATCGCTTATATCAGAGATGTGCTAATCGTTCAACTGGAAAGAATTCTATTCACAAACAAGTTTTATAGCATGATTTCTTCCTGTTCAAATTGTCAATTTCTGATAAAAAATTTCAAGTGTGAAGAATGAGCTGTGAACATGAAAGATAAAAAATAACATAAAAAAGAAAAAGAAACATAAAATTTTCTACATTTGCTTTAATTAAGATTACTTTAAAAAATTAATTAATTAATTAATTACCTCTCCATGCTGTTCCTCCCTACCAGCATCGGTGTGCTCAGGCAATAAATAAAGTCGTACGCTGCAGATTAACTGATTTTCATCTTGCTTGTTTGTCCAAATCATCTGCAGTTCCCCCACGCACACATCTCTCAATTTTGTTATTTTAATGTAGAAAAATTCTCCCAAGCTCAAAATTCTGTATTTACCATTTTTTGAAAATTTAATTGCTTTATAAAATGTGTTTGAAGCATGTTCTCCGATTACAGACCCGCATTTCTGAAAGGAAGACATTAATTCTCAATGAAATATCTACAAAGCAGCTCAAATCACTGATAAATTTTGAGCCCCACATCTAGGTCACTCGATAAATATCCCCAATAAAATTTCTTTAAATTCAAAGAAAAATATCAACAAGTTCGCAATTCTCCGCCTCAAATCATTAAACATACATTTTACAACTTACCTCTACATTTTGTTCATCCATTTTACGATGAAAATACTCTTTTCATTGCTCCGATAGCATGGCATGCAACACACTAACAATACTTTATATTTAGGACCTAATTAGTGACGTCACACACCGGCAGAAGTTGAAGTCGATTAGCATAATTTATTCATAATATCAGCCACGTCACGAAAAAATAACAAAATTCAAGTAAAAAATGATTCAATTTAAAAACTACTTTGATAGAAAAATTAAATAAATTATACTAAAAAAATAATGTCTTGTTTGGTATGAATTTGTGCATGTTTTAAATGTGAAATTGAGAGGTGTGTAAAAATTATTTTGGCAATGGCGGCTTTGTTGACGGAAGTGGTATGTGTGTGAGGAAAGGAAGCACGAGGTCACATGACAATGGCTGAAATAGGTGAATGGACTCCGGGTTGGAAGTGGTAAAATAATTAAAGCAAACAATTACTGTCAGATGGAATATTTAAAAGTAGACAAACAGGTAAAAATAGATAACATATATATGTATGATTGCTTATTGACTGATATTTTTTTCGCAGTTTATTGTAAAAGAAGAAAAGTCCACCAAGCTAGCATTCTACTTTCACTTTCCATTTGTTCATTTAATCAAAGTAGCAAGTCCTATATGACATTGAATTACACAGTATCATGTTGCATTTTGATATCATGTTATGTTTTTATGTGTTGATAACGTACGTATCAATAAGGTTTGTGTCTTAAAGATCCACATGCCAAGACATGTACGTTTTTGTGGTGCATGCATTATGTACTCTATAGTATTAACTTTACTATGGCTTTTGTATAGACTTACCTTTTTGTAGGCCTAGTCTGATGGATAAATTTGTCATGTTTTGAGTTAATTACTTTACTCAGGAACAGTTACTGCAGGCCAATGGCATTAAAGTCATAACCAAGTGCTATCTGCAGAACTGTTGCTCTATATAGCTCTTCCTGAGAATTAAAATTTGGATAAAGCAGAGAACTACAGATCCAACTGTTGTAAAAAAAAAACATGCTCTGTATTACACATCCTGCATCACACCCTTTATTACATCTTTACGGGACATCTCTTTACTTTTCATATTGAGTACCTCGGATCTTTTTACTATTATATTCAATATGTTGTTTTCATTTGAACACATAAGGAACCTTATAACTGACGTCAATGAGCATTTTTAAAATATGAAATCGCAAAGTAAGCTATTTTTAAATATATGATGAAAACAACAATACATGACAAAATCTGTATCAGTCATCCCATATCAACCCTCGACCAGTATCAATTAACCCTCTGGCCTTTGGCCCTTGGGCTGATATTACAGTCTCGGGTTGATATGGGGTGTGATACAGATTTTGCCATGCATTATTCTCTATATATTTTACTCCTAGATAATTTTAATATTCATTGTATTACCCAACTGTTTATCACTGAACTTTATTGTTGAATTCTTGCAATCATCTAATTGATGGTTTGATACAATTGATACAATTATTTTCCGGAAACAGCTTACTTAGGTTTTCTAAATCCATATCACCACACTCTGAAACTAGTGATGAGTTTGAAGTACAGAGTATTTTTAAAGTTTTAAAGGGTATATAATAAATTTATCATTTTAACAGTAACTTGATGCAAAGAGCCATATCACATCTCACTGACAGGATTGGGTCATCAGATCAAACTTGACATTTCATTTCTCAGGTTCTGGAGTTTGAGCAGGGCTGTATTAATCATATAGTAAAAATATATTATTTTCTATTACATTCTGCATCTCTGCTCCTAGGAATTAGACAGCTAAGTGCATGGCTATGATGAGCAAGGGTGCTTCTTCAAACTTATTAAACTCAATGCCTTTAGGTCCAAATGTTTGGAGTAAGAGTATTAAGCTCTTCTAATATTATTGTGGCTTTTCTCTCTTTGTGCATTTATCAGACAGACCAAATACATAGGTGATTATGAAATGATTAGCAAGAGTGCCTCTTCCAAAATAATAAATTCATGGTCCCTGGGTCAGGGGTTCTGGTGTTAGGTTGGGGATCTGTCAGTCATATTGTGAAAATTCATTAATTCTTTTAAAATCTTTTTCTCTGCTTCTGAGTATTTAGAATTCAATTTAAGTGCATGATTAAAACAAGCAAATGCACTTCTCTTCGCCTTAATATAGATTTGTCTGATAGAATGTTAGTAAGTTTGATAATTTTAATATTCTCACTGTTTTTACTTTATTGTTGAATTCTAAATTTTTAAAATTCATAGCCCCTGGGTCAGGGTTTCTGGAGTTAGTGGCTCCATTTATAATAAAAAACAAGAATTACCATATTATTATTATTAATTAGTTTGAATGAATACTTTGGAGAAAGGTTGTGATCACTGAATATGGAATCAAAGGTATAGATCTTTTCCTCACTTAATTTTAAGTGTTACTAGGCATTACAGACAGACAGAACTTAACATACGGACAGACAGACCAAAATTAATATCCCGCATTTCAACAGGGGGCAAAAACTCTAAAGCTTCATGAGATATTGCCCGTAAATGAAAGTTTAACATGAACACATAATATATTAATTGATGACCTTAACCTTTTGACTTCAAAATAGATCTGGGTCTTAAACCTAAGTCCATAGATGTTGTATAATATGTCATTGCAAAAGCTCAAAGGCTTCTTGAGAAGTTGCTCAGAAACGAAAGAGTTAGATCAGACAGAATTTTTGAAAATTTATTACCTTGACCTTCTGACCTCACAATCAATAAGGATCTTCCCTAGGCCATAGGGAATTATTGTATAAAATTTCATTGCAAAAGCTCAAATGCTTCTTGAGATACTGTATGGAAATGAAAGTGTTACAAACAGAACTACAGAACGGACAGTCGGACAGACAGACTGAAATTAATATTCCCCTCTTCTGAAATTAATATTCCCCTCCCCCACTTTCAGTTGGGGTTCAATAATAAATTCTCAGATAGCATGACTACATTGGGCCAATGTGATTTTGGTGGGATGGTTAGTAGCCTTAGATCTGTAGCGTTATGGTTTTATATATTTGTCTTTGACCATAACGCTACAGATCCCGTAATGCAAAAATGGTGCAATTTATGGCACAATATTTTTTGTGCACTTTTGGGGAGAATTTCCCCATTTTCTAGCATTGATCAATCAACTACTTTTCAGTCCCTAATTCTAGACACATTCTGTAGCCAATATGTATATTTCATCCACCTCCCAACCATTTATAGATGTCTCTACAGACAAATAAACTCGCTTGAAGTGAATTTTCCGCAATCTAACAATTTTAATCAAGCGAGTTTATCACTTGTAGAGACGACTATAAAGGGTTGGGAGATGGATAAAATATACAGATTAGTTAAATTATGTGCCTAGAATTAGGGAGTGAAAGGTAGTAAATTGACCGATGCTGGAAACTGGAGAAATTCTCTCCAAATGTGCGTAAAAAATATTGCGCCGTAAATTGCACCTTTTTTGCAACATGGAATCTGTAGCGTTATGATCAAAGACAAATATATATAACCATAATGCTACAGATCTGCAGCTAGATGGTTGGTCACTACTAGAGTGTTGGTGTTGGGGGGAACAAATGTAGGCCTAGCTGCAATAATGTAGCCCTCTCCCTTTTTTTAGGTCACCTGAGTAAACTCAGGTGACCTATTGCTATCTGTTTTCATCCGTCGTCGTGCGTCGTTCGTTGTGCATCGTGCGTTAACATTTGAACATTTTCAGCTTCTTCTCTGCAACCACTGAACCAATTTCAACCAAATTTGGCACAAAGCATCTATGGGTGAAGGGGAACAAAAATTGTGAATTTATAGATCCACTGCCCCCCTGGGGCTGTAATTTTTTGAGGGGTGGGGCCAAAACCACTAAAATTAATGCAATCTTTAAAAATCTTCTTCTTTACTCCTGGACATCAAGCAGTCAAACTGTTTGCATGATTGTAATCAGCAATATAGTCCTTTACCAAAATTGTGAAATTCATGGCCCTGGGGTCAGGGTTTCTAGTGCTAGGGCGGGGCTAAATAAGTAGGTAGTGAAAATGCATTATTTCTTTGAAAATCTTCTTCTCTGCTCCTGGGTATTAAATAAACCAACTAAGTACATAGTTATGATGAGCAAGAGTGCCTCTACCAAAATTGTGAATTTTATGGCCCCAGGGTCAGGGGTTCTGGTGTTAGGGTAAGCTCTATTGATTATATAGTGAAAATACATGAATTCTTTGAAAATCTTCTTCTCTGCTCCTGGGTATTAAATAAACTAAGTACATAGTTATGATAAGCAAGAGTGCCTCTACCAAAATTGTGAATTTTATGGCCCCAGGGTCAGGGGTTCTTGTTTTAGGGTGGGGCTCTAATGATTATATAGTGAAATGCATGAATTCTTTGAACATCTTATCCTTTGCTCCTGGTTAATATGCTAATGATCTAATTACATATTTAAGGCCAGGATTTATTTTATTTTCAGTTTTACAAACCCTCTGCTCAAGGTTTTGAATTTTTAGAAAAAAATAAAACAATTTTTTTCTTTCCGATGTCAAATTTGAGTCGGGATCGAGATTTCAAATTTACGAACTCGCACTTCTGGTTTTACGATGAAACGGCGGGTAAATAAAGCTAGATCTGAGAAGATAGCTTGGTTTAGTGTAAAATTCATCGATAAGAGTGCCATTCAAAATGCTTCACCCATTCAAAGGACAAATAAAATGCTGACGACTTTGTTGCACAATGACATGCTGGTGAGATAATTATGTATTCGTTTCAAAAGTAACTGTAAATTATTTTCCTCCCCCAGGTTTTAAACTGCCCGTGGTAGCTATTGCGTATTGCCAGGGACATTGTTTAGGTCTCTGTTATAGCTTACAGTCTAAGCATCATTCTTCAGAAAAGGGTTGCTTATGCATCAGATGTAATGAATAAAACTATGGGAGAAGTGAAGTCCATTTGAGGAAGAAATAAACAATAACCTGAAGTGAAGAAATAAAAAAAAAAATTCAACTATTAAAAGGCAAGAATATACAAATATATACAGGCATGTAGTATCATTTGTATCAGCCAGAAAAATTATTTTACACTTATTTGAAAAAATGTTGACCCTACTCCCCAATACTTCCTGTCTGTTTTATGATAGGAATTATAA